GCTCCGATCCTTCATTTTTAAATTCCATTTGGAGGCCTGACCATGGTGATGCTTTTGAAGGGAAGAGGGAAAGTGCATCACCGTTTAAAGCATCCATCTACGTAGATCGTCCTCAGTGATCTATAAATAACTCATGGGGAAGATTGCATTGCTGAATAGGATCCACGTCGGATCTACAAACACTAAGCCGAGCATTATGCGATAGCGGTTATAGAGAGATCCTACTTGATATCAACTTTGAAGTGGGGATTTGGCACAAATGAGTGGCAAATGAATGCTACCTAGAGGAATGACGACTGAATGAAGACGGCTGAGTTCGACTGTTGTTAATTCACCCATACCTGGTGATGGAAAAGGAGTGAGGATAAGCCATTTTCCTTCCTTTGTGCCCTTAGTAGGGGCGAAATTTGACACACTGTTGTGTGGCAGATTCTTCTCTTACAAAGTTCAACCATCTACCGTGAAAAGCAAAGCTGAATCCCAAAAACAGTATGAGCAAGTATTCGTTGACTCAAACGCTATGCTTCCGATCCTGCAATCTCAAATCCTGTTTACGTTTTCACCGTATTTAATTCTTGAATTGGCTTCTGGTTAAACGACCAACACGAGTGATTCTTTTATGACCGTTTCATGTCATAAACATATAATTAGACATGCTGCAGCACCGTTGTGTCTGGATATACCACCTAAACAACTCGTGCTTTCAAGATACAACTTGTTAGGCTGCTCCTGGCATGAAGATCTCGCACTCAGCTTCTTCTACCAACCGTCTCAACACGCATTTTTTTGTTTTCGAGTCTTTCAAATTGCGAGGTAGTTATCAGAACCTTGCACCATATCTATCTTTAACCTCTTTAGAGCATTTAACCTTCAGTCAGAATCGACTTCTGACTGCCTGAAAAATATAAAAATTCGAGGTTCTTAAAGGCGCCACATGCAACTTCTCCACCATACCAATCGCCTGGATGCTTAATGACTTTCTAAAGCATACAGACATCACATGTCGGTAAACTCTTGTCACGATTTGCTCGACTTCAAATTCACGCCCGATCCAGCAAGAGGGTGCTGGATCTACCCGCGGTTTTCCTTGGCTTGATTTTCCATTTCTTTCTTGCAAGTATTTGCAAGAGGGGAAGAATTGTTGTCGCGTCACTATTAAAATCGCATCCCATTCCAGCGCGTCGGTGTCATTAAAAATTTTGCTACTATTAGAACAGCTATGCATCAACCCCTAGACCCTGGCCTTTTGCCTGCATGTGAAACAGCTAAATGCATCGTTTGGAAATGTCACCACGCATTCGAAAGCCATAGCTTAAAAGACTTGAGTTGCCTTCCTGAATAGATGGCGAGGAATGGTGTTGTCGGTTCGGAGCGCTTCAGAGATGGCGACAACTCGAAGTGAAAGGAGGCAAGATGGGATGCGTTATCGATTAGGCGGCGCGGGTGGATGTGTTGACGTCGGCATTGATTGCGTTTCTCAAGCGGCGTTGGGCCACACCTTGTCGCTACCGATGAGTCACCCACCTACCCACCCACCCCCAGTCATCGATACACGGGCACACCAACACCGGCACGTGCGCCCTCACGAGAATGCGCACGCACGCACACGCGCACAAACGTGGCGCGAGATGAAACGATGACTCAGCCGGTTTGACCGCGTCGGTTCCACACCCCAGAAGCAGGCGGCAGCTACTGCCTACCTGCTCCTGTGCTAAACAGAACTCAGGCAGCGACGGTACAGTTCTGCAGTCGCTTCAACTCGCCCCCTGTTTCCACCGCACCACTCTCAACAACTTTAACCTGCTCTTTGTTTGAACTAACTTGACAGCACCATGTGTAAGTTAAATCTGCGCATGCATAATGATTGGTGTGGAGACACCTCCACCGCTTCGGTTAATTGGAACGTCTGGTGGTGTGTCACCCGCTTACACTCCCAGAAGGTGCGTAAATATGGCTGTTTTGCGCCTGGTTTGGTGCGCCATGGCATGACTAGTCACCTTTACCTCAACATTGTGCATGGAACTAGCAGAAAGAGTAGGCAGCGTGTGGTCGAAAAAGACCGCCAGATTTCACGCGACTTATGCAGATTAACAGACGTACCGAGTAATAGCCTCGCCCGTAAGATAGAAGCAAATGTTGGCATTTTGAATTACACCACAAAAGTGCGCCATCCTAGCATCAACAACCATGTTTGTTGTAGCGTCTTGAAAGACGTCAGTAATCACGCCTCTCGAAAACTCCCATCGCCAGGCTTAGTATTACCCAAGACGTGTCTGCGAACAGAGGGGAGGGTACATGTTTTGTTGAATAAGGGAAAAAAGTGTTAAGGCCATGAAATGATCTAAAGACATGAATTTTCGTTTAAAAAAGACTTTACATCTAGCAGTGGAAAAATCTTCCACTATCATTTCATGATGCTCAGAAATCTTGCCAAGTGATGATGCAATTCGTCACCTGACAGACGAATTGTAATAGCGGAATGGATCTACCACCACTTACCACGGCAATCTAGCAGGAAAGCAGTTGGAGTGGTAATTGTATGGAAGTAAGACTACAACATCGAGTTACCACCAAGCGGAGTGGACACACCGTCCACTCTATCGCGGACAACTCGCTAATTGGTCTGCGGGAATACCCACTGCCAGAGCCGTCTATCCCTCACCTTGAGACTACCATTTAAATGGCGGCCCATGTCGAATCACTTCCACTAAAGTAGGCAAAAGACACAACGCACCAGCCAGGAGCATGAACCCATGTATTGGAGGCTTCTGAGAAGACCATATGAGGTTGAGATACATTGAAATGTTTGTGTGTATAATAAGAGAAAAGACCTAGTCGTGTAAGTAAAAAGTACTTAGAAGATAAACTAAACACACGCGCACATCCGTTTGGTTGAAGATGATACACACACAGACCCGCACGCATACATACTGGTACAAACGCATGCACGTTTACATTATTCATCGATGAAAGAAAAGATATCGAGGATTCATTCCTAGACAAATCCACTATGTACAGACCGGTGAACACGTAGTCAGTTGAGAAGTCTCAAAGAATGAGGACAGGAAGGAGGAGAGAAATGCGCTTTGGCATAGTCTGACGGGTAGGTGCGACACCATCAGATGTGAAAGTAGAAAAAAACAGGACGGAAGATGGAAAAACAAAGAAAGAACATTTGGGAGGAGCAGAAAGGTTTTTATACAGCCGCGGTGGGGAAGGATGTGAGAGTGAGGTCCTAGAGAAAATCCTATCGCTGAGGCCTCAGCTCGATTTGTCCCTTCATATTGCACAAATTGTGTCCTCAACACCAACGGACGAGGAGCGGAGGAGGCAAGGGAGGCATGAATGGCGAGGACTCAGAGCTTGTCCAACGCGGCCGCTGCACGAACCTCCTCTTCGAGGACCCACATCACTGGTGGTATGCTAAAGACACGGACAACGATAACGCTAATTTGACAGGTCTAGTGATAATGACCCTTCGATAACCTAAACGGGAGACTATCACAAATGTGACAACGTTAGTTTGGGGAATTAAAGCCTACAAAACCAATTGAACGGCTCAGGAGAATATAACCTGTCACTCCAACATCTCTAACAAGCAATTGAATGGTTAAAATTAACACAAAGGCTGCAAAACAACCTTTACACCAGCAAAGCAGTTAAGATGTTTTACTGAACAAAGTTGGTCGGTGAGAAATGAGTCAAGTGATGTACGTTTAGGTGTCTATTGTATCAGCACAGTGACGATTTTATCATTGTACCACTTTACTGCCTCGAGCAGGACCTCTGTTATGTGAGACTCGACACTCCGTGAGGGCCTGCAATGTACCCGACCTGACATTTCAGTGGATAAACCTCAAACCCTGCAGGGCCAAATTCGATTCCAATTTCGGACACGACAACATCCACCCTTTACTGAATCGTATTACGACAACTTGGTGTGAGAGTTGGTACCCAGCACTGCGATGGCACGGAATTTGGACGCAGGACCTATACACATGCGAGCACACGGACAGGGATGCGAGGCTACGGAGGTCAGGACACAACACAATGATTGACTGACTAAATTACTTAAAAAAATGGCACCGCGGTGGTTGAGCTAATTTTTTCAGCCAGAGATAAGCTTGCAGATTGCTCGAGTCAGTAGTCAACCCTACCTCTGGATGAGATATGAAACGACAAAAGGAGGCGACTGAACCGGAAACTGCTCGACAATAGAACAAGTAATCTGATTGAAGTGAGCTCGAAACGTTCAGGATTAGTTTGCCTTTGTTATTCACCACTTAGTGTTTGTTGAGATTATGCAACTGATGAAGTACGAATGAGAGCGACTTTTAACCGGACTAGTGGGCAAATAAACTTGAATTTATTGGAGCGAAACAATCGCCGACAAAGTCGTCGTTTGCAATGGCTAGTCATAAACTCAAGAGTAGAGGTACATGAAAAAAAGTGCTTACGAAACACATCCTAAGTTTGCGCCAAAAAATCGTTACTCTCCGACTTGGGAAGCAACTAAAACCCGCGTCATAAGTTGTATTTGTGGTGATTTGAAGTGAAATTGCAATGTGCGTAGCTTTTTTGGATAAGTTCATTTCTGAGTTCAGCAGTACTTTTCGATAACTAACATCCAACTAATCAATCATTCAATTATTCGACGATGTAGCAGTGAAGCAAAAACAAGAACTTCGAAGACAGGAAACCGCATCAGCATTGAAGGAAGAAAAGGGAACTCGAAAAACTCACTTCGTACATAGATCGCCTTGCCATTTCACGAGGTATTCGGTCTTGTTTTCCCGAGTCAATCTTTGGCCAACAAACTGTTGTGAGAGAAAGTAAAGAAGGCGTTGGACATTACATTTCCAAGCAGAGTAAAATAACAATCCGACTACTTTAAGAGCTTCCCAAATTTATTTTTTCCTATGAGCAGCAAATTTCAGTGTCCTAAACAAGCTATTGCAGGCATGTAGGATTTAAAAATACACAAGAGGACTGCCTTTGAGAAAAAACAAAATAAAGTACCACAGATGTCTGCCTCTTAACATTCAAAGGGGTGAACCAAGCAGCAAGAGTCGTGTATTGAAGCCTAGGAATCCTCAAACACATCTGGGGTGGGTTCCACAAACAAAAAATGCTCTGGCCTGCAAAAGAACAACTGGGACCGCGCATCGCTCCACCATCAAGTAACACCAGCCAACCAACGCGTGCATGCATGTCACTACAGAGCCAAAGGACCGATTTTGACCCCTTTCCTACCGAAAATTAGCCTGAGTAAATGGAAGATCCAGTAGAAGGGGGAAGGGGGTGAGGGGGTTAATAACAATGCATGGACAGGACCAATGCATTTGCTAAGGTTCGGGTAATGCAAATCACAAATATAAGTGGCGTCAAGTGGGGTAACCAGGGCGCACAGACATTTGCAACGGATTCCAAATGTGCTTCAATAATGACTGTTTGACAATCTGTGTAGTAGATTTTCATTAGAGCCTACATTCAACCCGACTCGCCGAAATTAAAGTTAGTACACTGTTGTACCGTGAAAAGAAAACTCAAATCAATTCCAGCGAAATACGCGTTTAATTAAAGGAAACGAGATGAAAAAAGGGCAAAAAAATATGCTAGTACCTTTGAGGAAGGGAGGAGGTTTGGATGTGGAGAGGCATAGCAAAAACAGTGCAGCTCGCATATGCAAGTATTGAAAGTGGCAGGACAATTCTCGTATGAGAGACAACTGCAAACAAGTCACCCGCATTATGTTAACTTATGCATGCAGAAATAAATACATCCTAGAAGTATACGTATTCTCAAAAAAAATTAACTAGACAGCTGACATGAGAAGACCACGACAGAGAGGTGATGGGTATTTCAGGAATGCCGATGATTCTGATTAGCCTCCGGAGGGTTTTGTTAAAGCGGTCACGTCAATATGAAAGGAATGAGCAGAAACATGATCACGATACACTATCTACATCACACTACAGATGGGACGCGACGTCACACGACATCTACAGTTTATGAACGCGAAAAGATTTGAAGACAGAAGTGTCGGTATTGCATGAAACCGTCAAACAGGTAGGCATGTAACACACCACTCACACCCATACCATGAATGACGTTGCTTTACACAAACATTTCCATGATCATACGTTCACATTTTAACATCAAATGTATAATTTTAGATTTTTACTTCATACTATGTGAAAAATATGTGGTACAAGGCACAAAAGCCGTAAAAAACTCCACGGACAATTTGTTTTACACCATCAAATATACTGCCGGTGGCAAGTCAGACTAAAAAACTCGCTTAAGTGAGTAAATTCCGGTCGAGCTAAGCCCATTTGGATGACTCGACTTAAGCCTCAAACATTCGGCAGTAAAGAGAAAACCTAATGGCAAAAGCAGGCTTAAAGTGGAGCATTTAGTTGTTTTAATTTACAACGCTTACGGACAGACACTTTAAAAACCTGCCATTTTTTTATTAACACAGAAGGAAGAAGAAAAGCAATGTCAATAAGTAATCCGTTTTAAGTGAGTTCAAATACAATTTAACTAAAAATAGGTAAACTGCTTCCTCTGAAATATGAATACTATGAGAACCTATGAGTTCAACATCAAGAACTGACGTCGAAAAAAACAAACATATCGCTACACTCCATTTTATGGGTAGCACTAAAGCGATTGCACAATTCCTCAAAAATCGCAACCCTATACAAATCCCAAGTTGCGAAAATAATTGCAATTTGTAAAATGGCATACTGGAAGAATGGTTATTAAAGACTACTACAAGCTGAAGTTCCGGTACGGAACTCTAAATCAGGCGAGTGTTGCACCGGTGTGGAGAGAAATGAATCAAAGATAGCATAAAGGGGGCGAGTGAGCTTACGGTGTGAGGAATAGTGAGGAGGAGTTTAACGCGATAGCACTCGGGCCTGCTTGCAGGTCGAGGGGATGATGCGGAAGCGTCACCCGAGACAGTCGCAATTGTGGATCGCAAAATGCGCTTTTCGGGGGAGCTCGACTCACGATTGTCGCTCCTGATAGGCCCTGGTAGGGCCACGTGGGTGGAGAGAGGGATATCGTTCGAGGCGGAGGGTGAAGGCGGTCGAATAAGGCTCTCGATGGCACGTTCGGCGAGGAGCTTATCTAATACAATCCGGTTCTTTATTATTATCTTTGACCTGGCGTCGTAGAAGTCCACGTGTCTGACTGGGAAGAGAACAAAGTATGACCTTCTTATGGCAGCATAAATAGGGATACTTTTCGAGGAATAAGTTATTTCTGTTAATAATGTAAATAACAATTGTATTAATGGTATATAACATGCATTTAAGCAAAAAAGTTCACTTTATGTTTAAAATCATTGGAACCGTTGACAGACCAGCTTTCAGGTAGATCAATAATAATTTTACAGCTTGTAGCGTATCGTACATAATTAAATTGAAATTTAAGAGGAGTTACTTCGACAAAATCGGAATTTTCGTTTCCTCCTTGATATTCTTCGAGTGCAATTTTTGAAGTTAGCACGATTTCTAGTTCCACCAGCTGGAGATCCGGGTAGAGATTGAGAGAAGGGCGGTCCTTTGGTTACGGAAGCCACATCACCCGCTTTCGAACGCATGTGATCACGATCGATGTGCCGCTGGAGTAAACTTGAGGAAGAAAAACGTTGGAAGCATCTATCAAATATACACGAGAACGGTTTTCCTTTGGCCTCTGAGTGCTCCTGCACGTGGCGCGACAACCAGTTAGAGGAGACACTGGGATGCCCATAGACCTTGCATCCACTCCATAAACAAGTATAGCGGGACTTTTTTAAGGAAATCTGAGGTAAAACATGAGCCTCTTGGATGTGGGATAGTAACCCACCAGGCCCAATATCAGCACCACTATCACAGCCGACCCATTGGCAAGACTTCGAAAAGACTTGCGAGTGATCAGTCGATGAGGAAGCTACAGACGGTGCTCTTGAAGACTGTTTATGATTTCGAGATTCGTTCAAGACCGATTCTCTTGATTGATTTAAGAGCTCGTTGCTGTCAGTGCTTTCTTGACTGGGTGTGCGAGAAAGCACCACAACGCTATCACCATCAGAACTCTAAAAGATGCAATACAAGTAAGCATATTTACCATTTCGCTATTTGAAATTGAATGGGGTGTGACTTCACAGATATCGCTCTGGGCCTTAGCCGAAATGAGCCTTAAATGGCGTATTAGAATGCAATAAAATATTACCTTAATGATGAACGGGATAAAGTCCTAATCGGAACGCGAAGAGCAGGACACATTGCTTTAGATGTTGATGAAATTTACAATGAAGATATGAGGGAAGGGTATTTCTATTACAAATATTACCTAAATGAAATACAGTATTCGATCAAGACATAGCTATCAGCCACCCTTAACAACCTTGATTAAAGCTATTCATTTTAAAATGGGCAAACACCTTGATCAATATAAACATGTTTTTAGAAAACTCTGCAGTTGTAGCTGTCATTTAACAAACAAATGCCCCACTAAAAGTCTAAATTGACTTGAAGTATGTTTGTCTATTAATTCAGAGCCATTTGCATCAACGCAAATCTTGCCCGGTTATGCATTCTACACATAAAAAACATTCCCTTTAAGATGGATATTTCATTATTAACCTAAAATACGATTTTTGCACTAAAATCAAGTGCTCTTCTACGTATGCAGAGAAGCGTGGCCACAACTTTTCCATCAAGATGTTGGACTTGAAAATAGATTGTCAAGATCGATGTCGAAGCAAAGGATGTGAGCTCTTTAGACGAACATTTTCAGAAGGCATTCGCTTTAAAAGTAGAGAAATTAAAAATACAGTCCTAAAATTAACTTTTTAATGTATTTTTGAATAAACTCATGTGGTTGTCAATAATGGTTGCTGCAAATACTAAATAATTTCAAAACTGTTCGCTAATTTCTTTTTTGTATTTATACAAACGAACAAAAGTATGTAGCCTACGAAATTTAGTGAGACATGACTGTTCGGTGACCCCATTTTTTACTAAATGGGGTCACAATTTAGGTGCATTATACTGCCTGGATAGCTTGTTTAACTCAGTGTTTGATTAGGCGAACAATTAAGTTCCCACAGTTTGTACTCCTTTGTGACAGAATGGTCTCTGGACCTTACCAGCCACCTTTAGACCTTATGTGCATTATCGTGTTTTCTGCTATACTACTGTGACCTCTTGCGAACTCCGGGTAAACTCTAGGGAAAGGAGCATACCAAACTGATTTACCAATTTGCGTTTGTTACACTAATTGAGTTTGTATACGGGTGTAGGTGCGTGTGCTGCTGCCCGACATGCAGACCTAAATTAATGAAATTAGTGGTTAAGGCTTTAGGAGATTCAGAACATGGTGTAACAAAGCCTTTTAGACCGTTTTTAAAAGTGTAAATGAAATAATCAGACCATTGTTAAGTGGTGCACGGCATGTGTGCACAACAAGAAAGGAACATTACAGATATTGCGAAAGTAATAGGAATGATGTAGTATACCATATTTTCAAAATATCAAGTTTACGAATCAAACTTGAGTATGTTTTGACTGCATTCGTCTTTATAAGACCTCTTCTAACTGGTTTTTTCCAGGGTTTAGAAAGAACATGCTGCTTCCCCCATATGCTACTACTCATTATACCTGATTAAATGACAGCTGAAAGATAGATCTTTCTCGCCTAAAATATTTTGTAATTGAATGACACTGTAGTGATTTCGACTTTAGTCCATGCATTAAAGGTTTAACACCCTGATTTTGTTCTAACCTTTTATTTGGTGTACCGCCGATTGTGTTTTCGTTGATTTTTATTCATTGTCAGGAATTTGGAGGTTATCCTAAGTAAGTGCGCTCCGTTCCCCGTTGTTTTTTGTCATGATGCGGTTCACAATTTTTCCTAAATTAAATGATTGTTATATATTCGGAGTTCCGTCTATGTAGTACAATTTGGGGCCTATATTTGGTCATGGACGAACTGTCAGCGGGTGCACGATCGACGGCATCTTCATTTGTCCAATATGCCATTACCCTAGCTTCCATTTACTTTCGGGATATATTTAGTTGCTGAAACTGCACCTAGTGTTACTTGCCTTTACTTAGGTAGCTCTCACTTCACTTTACCTTCGCCACCCAATTTGTGGGCTTCTTTATTTAAGTGCAAACTTCTGTAGTCTGGGGCGGAATTTAATCAATATTAACTTCTATTTGTTTGACTCGGTAGTCATTGTGGGACGTCTTTTGCCTATCTTCTGGGTCGAATATGTCACTGATCTTCTTAAGTGGAAATGTAGACATTGTGTCTTGTTTTAAAGCTTATGGTTAGTGTTTTTCTTGTTATCGCACTTCTGATCTATCCCTTCTGAAGTCAGTTTTTTTATTCTTCTATCATATTAATGGGCTGCTTTCGTTCATTTGTTAGTCTATGGATATTTTCTTGAATATTTTATGCGCCTAACACAATGCTAGATCTGTGACGCATCTCTGAGTTCCGTTTTATATTAATTTCCGCGCTCTGATGAGTTCGATTCAAATTACATTTTTGTGCTAGTTGTAATCACAATTTTGACTTTGACATCATCACGTACGAATTGTACTTACTTTTTCATATTCCTTTACCATTCATACATTTATTTTGATCACTTCCTTGCACATTAAGTACAGTTTTTTGCCACTTTGACCCTGCGTTATTGTGATTACTATGCTTTATGCCCCTTAAACACAACCTAGGTGCACACAGTTTTATTGGAACGGGCGGAATATGTACCGGGGATTAGGTTTTATCCGCACCTTGACTGTTCCTCTGAAAGCTTCGCTTTTTTTCCTTTTAGATGCCTCCCCGTCCAACGATTTACTCTTCTGACGTAAGCCTATGATGTATTTATAGTTGTCCGCTTCTTGATGTTTTATTTATGATTCTACTAGTTTAATGGCTCTGTGGTCACCAAGTTTTCAGGACGACGATCGTAGGGTATAGTGGAAAGTGACCACATTTTAGGGGAGAGGGGGGTTATTTAAAAGCCACGTTACCGGGCAGCGTGACTGTGGGTCATCGAGTTGTTGGATTCCCCTTTGTTGTCACAGCGCGCTATCAGTCTCATTTAACGCCTTTCCATCGTTGGAGGCCTTAACTGGTGCGTGTCGCAGCTGCAATTAGCTCCGTAGGCCTTCAAATAGTGGTAGTGGCAGAGGCGGGTCGGAAGGGGGGGGGGGGCAAACAGCTGTTGTCATTATCGATTTTTTAGTGAGTGCACATCGAGGCGCATGAGCAGTAGCGCTGCCGGTCAAGGCCCATGAGATCAGCTGGTCTTTTCAACGGTCTTTTACGCCGTTTTCCCGGTTTGCAGGTCCTTAACACACCCACCTCCTTTCCGGTTCGCCGTTCAAACAACCTAAATGAGTTCACTATGCAGTCACGCCTCATAAGCGAGGAGGAAGCTAGGAATCGTGCCAGATGGTTTCGCGTTAATCTCACAGGTACGTTTGTTTTTTGTTTTGCTTACCTTTTTGCCAGCAAACCTTTCTTCATGTGGAGGCATCTGCCACTTTGTTTTGACACATATTTCAAGTCTTTCACTTATCCACTTTTCTTTTCACGCATCACCAAGCCTCAAAAAGTTGGACTGATAGGTTCGTTTTGTTCTTCAGTTAATCAGCGCAATTAGACGCACATGATGTGTAAGTCATTCGTGTACAGCTTTCGGTTTCAAATCACAGTGCGCGCGATTTTGTGGTGTTGAGCGAATCGTGAGGCGTTCATCTGACACAAAGGGAGGTCGGGTGGCGTGATCAAAACAATAACTAATCCATTTGAAGTGTTATTTCTTTAAGTAACATCCTTGTATGTGATCTGATTTGACCGGTTCTCTGTTATAACGTCTTCGCCTGCCTATTATGAGTGATTTTAATGACTTGCTATTTTTGTTCTTGTCGTTCTTCAATTAAATCCGTGACATACATACTTTCGAAGGCTTAATAGACGTCTTTTTGTTGTGCATTAACTCAAGCCATCTATTTTAGCAACTTCTATTTTACATGAGTTGACCCATATCCTGAATTATGAATGTTGTGCAATTTTGGACGCTTATTTTTTCTCGTCGCAAGACTATGCTTAGTTAGATATGCCTTAAGACGTGGCGATCATTTTTCGGGTCGTCTGAGTAGCGGCTTTAGCGTAGCTCTGGTCTGGGCGCCTTTTTATACTTTTGTAATGTCAGAGCCCAAGTCTCTTCTTTTCAACGTGATAGGAGCAAAAGATGTTCTGCCACAAGCGAGGTCGTGGCAACATCTCATTATGTCAGAGTTACTTTTTATATCTAAATTAGTTTCGTTGAATTTTCTTTTCCTATCGATACGATTGGCGATAGTTCACTTCTTCCCGAACAGTTTATTTGACTCTGGTGTAGTGTAAACATGGAAGTTTGCTGTTGGCGCTTCTTGTCCGTTAATTATTTGCCATTTCCCATCAATATCTGCCACGGTAATGTTCTTTAATTCATACTGTAGGCAAAAAAATAGGTGGAAAAGTTTGGTAAATTCACTTATTTTGCCGTGAATTATGTAACCTCAATTCGCCCGTATTGACAGCACTAATGACGCTCGGAGATCATTCTCCTAACTCGACCAGTGCTGTAGATAAGCTTTAGGTCTTCCACAATTGTTTAAATGGACCTCTTGCATTGCACATCCGTGACCAAAATTCCCCAGTGTTTGTGTAATTTAAACTGGTTGAAACCAGGTCCATTGGGGAGTGAATGTGCATGTGAACACTTGCGGGGCAGCACGCCATGCCGCGTTTGAAGTGTGCGGCAAACATAGCAAAAATCTCAGTAAGGTACTTCTCGCATGACCTCTTCGCCGCGCTACCTCTGGTTCCCGAGCCGAAATACACCTGATTTTCTTTAAAAAGCAAGTTTTTTATACGTGAATCGAGAATGAGCCGTGCGATTTCCATCTACTCCCCGGAAAACTCGGGAAACAATCGGGTTAACGAAGATGTGTAGACGCAGACCTCCCCGTTGTGAGATATGTGCCACCGAGAGAGCGAAACAGAACCCTGTGCACTATAATTGAATGTACGCATGAGCGGTTTTGGTCCTACAGCTGGGTAGCTTCGAGTGCGGGATTTCCTACACGTAATTCACACGGGCACATAAACACATACACAAGGTGTGTGTGCCTGCGATGCGTTTTCAGGTTGTCGTTCTTTCCACCGCAGGCATCCTTCAATCGATTACACCTTGCAGTACTTTTAACCCTTTGCTGGCACACTTCGTCCTATTTCACTACTACTTGAAATTGTATTGAAGAGTGCCACTGCCAGTTTACAAAATGTGTTGTAGTAGCGTCTTAGCTAGTCAGCTGTAAGTACATTCTCCTTACTTAGCCTCATTTTACCCTCTGCATTGGCTCCCACTCGTGGTAGACATTTCTAGACGTAACACACAATTATGCTTAGTACTATCTCATACGGTCTCCATTAAATCCATCCTCTTCGAATGTGGCCGACTGTCTACGTGTGATAAAATCGCGGCTCAAGTTGTTGCTTTCCTCCGCCCGGCTCATAAATCGGCGTCATTTTTTTTATTTACAGGAACTGATATCGGACTATTACCGTCTCATATAAGATCATTTTTATGCTAATTGAGGCTAGGTACGGATTAAACATAGTTTTTCTTCTGGCTCTCTTTAGGTCCGCTGAAAAATTTTCCCCGCAACATCTGCTACCTAACCTACATCACGACATTGGTGATTAAGAATAACAACTTGGAGCGCCTACCGCCAGAACTGGGGAACTTGGTGAACCTTGTCAATTTGGATGCCAGTTACAATCGATTGAAGGTTTTGCCATCCACCATTGGTGAGCTCACCGATCTCAGAGCTCTGATTCTCAATGACAACCAAATATCAGATCTCCCCCTCGAGGTTGCTCGTCTGCTAAACCTTAGGCTCTTAAGTGAGTCTACTTTTCCATCGCCCTCTTTGATTGCCTTTTTGCTCTATTGAGGCTTACCCCTCTATCTAGTTATCTCCACACGTTGGGGCTTACAACAGTCCTTACTCATGTGATTCTTATTGTGTGGTTGTTCCAAGGGGAGGGCCTACGTCACCGTTGCCTCTCCTTCTGTGCCACGTTTGATCAATTTTTCTTCGCAGACACTCAATGGTCCCTTTATTTTCTACTGTAGGGTAAGCTTTTTTCAAGTTAGAGGGTACGGTAGGGAGGCACGTATATCTCCAGCTGAAAAACGTAAACTCTACCAGATTTTGTCGTTAGGCTTTGCGTCCTTGTCCTCAGAGGAGATGCGATCGCAGCGGGCGACCTCACCGTCGTATTAATTACCCCAGTCTCTTGCATACGCGCGCATGGCCTCTGCCTTGCCTCCGCTTAATGGCTGTGGCTCAGACGCGGCTGTCTGCCCCCACCCCTGACACAGACACAGGAACCCGGATAGGCACACCGACACGCACACGCTCATACTCGTGGATGTGACGGGCATCCACTGCTTTCCTCTCGCGATGCATGCCTGTGCGTGTGTGTGTGGCTCGGCTTAAATTCCCCCTCCCGACCCTCCCTCCCCGAAAAAATGGATTCAGGAGCTGCGCTATTCGCAGACACCTGATTTGATGACTCAGGATGCAGTAGGGCCGTCTTCTGTCTGTTAGCCGATCGCGCTATCGGACGATTTGGATGTGAAAGTTCGTGCATCAATTGGTTTATGCGCTCGTAAGAAGGAGGAGTAGTCGGCTTATGCTATCCCCGGTCCCGCATGTTTGTCCTCTTTTCTTACAGATATTCTCAAAACCGGGTCAATTGATAAATGCCTGAACGACGTGCATGAGTGTGCTTTGTGAAGTTGCCGGAGCGACTGCCTTCCTGTGAAGTGTATCAGGAGCATCGCATCCATCATTTCGTGGCTAATGTGTGTATTGGGCGAAATGAAATTGCCTCTTGTTTATTCAGAGCAGCATGAGCCGCCCGCTTCTTTCTGGCTAGTTTTCGCCTCGTTCTGTCAGTCACTTAGTCTCAAGCATATCATTCAAGCATACACGCAGGAACCCGCGTACACTCATGATCACAAAAGAACGTGTAGAGCAGAGAATGCCATGCGCACCATTACATGCAGGCCTTATGGACTTTGAAGTAGGTCGTGTAGTTGCCTGCGCAATGCTTGCTTGTTCCTGCACTCCAAGCCTCCAAATCAAAGGCCTCATGCTACGGCGATCACGTTTTTGCAGAACTCGCCAATACTGCGGAGCTGAAGATATTTACTCCACTCCTTTGCCCCATTTCGTCGCTTTCATTGTCGTTATGTGGAGCATGTGTTATCTTCACCAAGTGTGATGCATATGGGAAATTTTTGCATACTTCGTCTCCATATTTACGCATACGAACACACACGTGCGGGCATTTATGCACACATGAGGGTGTACTTCTTTGCGATGTTGGGCTGTGACCCTAGCTCCGATCTCGTTTCTCTCTGCTGTAGTATATCCCATACGCGCAGCGGCAGCACTGTGGCAGTCAAATGTTTCACCTCTTGTTCACCTAAAGGCTAATCTCGTGATCGCATCCCACCTCTGATTTATGATGAGTGTCGGTGATGAGTTTACTATTTTCAAAGCCTCTTCGTATGTGCGTATTTGTGGGCATGGTGACTTCACCAACCACTTGCGCTGGCTAATTTGCATCCTCTAGAGGAAATGAGCGTGCGTGTCGCCTCAACCCATCAATTCGATCCACCCCAGACATTTTTGTTATCGTTATCCTTTGAACATAGAAACACTCGCACAGAGCGGGACTGACAATCTCTGCGTTAGGCTTTCGATGGGCTATTGTTTTTTTTTTTTGGCTCACGTGCCGTCTTCATCTCTCCTGTGTGTGTTGGCGAGACGTGGTGCTGCCTCCGGCCTAGCTGGCTGGAGCTGATCTCAAAGACAGATGATGGGCTAGTGAGGGTGGGTAGGCAGGCGGACGGACGGACGAAGCTGTTCACGCATGATCTTTGTTTACTTTGCAACAGATCGCAAGACCCTCTCATACGCTCTCCTACGCCCGGGTGGTTATTTAGCCTCACAGGTATTTGTGCTCCTAGGACTGGTAGATTTGCCTATTTATTTTTTTTCTCTCGAGATTTCACCGTTTACCTTAACTACATTATCTACACTGGTGTTGGCAACACTACTGTGTAACGCCACTGAGTTTAATATTGCAATTAGAATTAATGCCTGCGGTTCAAAGGTTCCTCTGTGTGGGTGCGGATGTATGTGTACTTCGGTAAACTCCAGGACCTTTGGTTGCGCAGCCCGTTTCTCTCGAATTCTGGGTGTGTGTGCGTGTGTGTGTGTGTGTGTCCCCCACAAATAACCAGCTTCGAAACGGCTAATCTGTATTTTTTATAACACACTGTCAAAAGGACTCGGAGTCCTTTTTTTTTTCTTTGTAAGAGATGCATTTTCGGTCGGTGAAACTAGTTCGCGTATTACTTTCAACCTTAACTGGTTTGCTTTTTTGTTGGGTTAGGCCACTCTTTGCCTCCCTGTTGTTTGCTAGCGTTTGAACACTGACTGGTATTTTTTGTCAAGATCTTACTTGTGTAGCTCGTCCTTGCACATAAGCAAGACACCAATACACCCCCAAACTATTATTCTTGATGGCCCATAATCTCGAATTCATTAGTTCTCAACGTAGCCATACATTGGTGTGCCTTTTTAGTGATTGAACTTTTTAGACGCCTTGTACAAGTGTTTTATGCTTATTCTTAGTCTAGCCTTCTACATTTTGGGTGTTCCACATAACGCCCTTTAATTTCGTCCCTGCATCAATTGTTTGCCAGCAGTAGCCACGACAATTTCGTTGATAGGGAATTCGCAGCTCCGTAGAACAAATGTGGAGCGTAAGCGTCTATTACTAATTTGATGATAATTGGCTTCCTTTCTATGTGTCTTAAAGATCTTCAGAACAACCCCTTGAGTCAGGAGTCGGCGGCTCTCTATGGAGACGGAACTGAGTCCTTTGTTCGACGATTGGTACGGCATTACCTCGACATCTACTCGCGGCAGCGTGAGTGTTATATTGTTCTTTTTTCCTTGTGTATTTGGGGTCGAGTCCTTCCGCCCTGTGATTGGTTGACGGTGGCCATGATGATTGCGCAACACAGCATCCTCGTTTGGTGCCGTTTTCACCTCATTTAGAGGTCGCAAATTGTGCGCTTGATATCGCAAATGGGTGCACAGTTCAAGGACTACCATTTCAATCATTTCTAATGCCAATTTTCCACAAACTCACATTACTGGTTGAAACAACACGCCTTTACCTGGTCGCATTGGGGGAGTCAGTCCCAAAGTGTGCAGATGCATCTCCAAGTGTTGCATTTTCAAAATCCCGTGATTGCCTGAGTTGCCATGTTTGTGCTTGAGTGAGTGTGACTTCCTTTGATATGAATCGGGCACTTCCAACAGTGGCTACTCTTTCCTGTTAGTAGGCTTTGCGTCCCAGTTTGTTGTGATCTCCTTCTTCGAAAATCGAGCTGGCCTTTTCTCCGTGGCCTCATTCTCATCATACGAGCGTATTTGCACGCTCCTTTGCTAAAGTAAGCTCATTTGCAATGGTCCAATCTACCGAATAAACGGTGAGGAATTTCCTTCCCACTGTGATTATCGCAAAGCTTTGGCATCGCACAGCATTTCTTTTTCGTCAAGACGCCAATCTCTGGAGCAGTGTAGAACAATATCAGAATGCTTGATGTTCGAAGCCTGTCATTTCAGCTGGAGCTTAAAGGGTATTTTGAAAAGCCTTTGTTGCAAGTAGGTGCACAGTTTTTGCAGAAAACTGTGAACAGACAACGCCAGTTGAAATGCCCCCATCTTAAACCCCGTTCTTCACTTAAGAGGCTTTGACCCAACTTCAAGTTAGCGTTTCCCGCTTCCAAGCACTTTAATTGGTTTCTTTAAAGACCACTGGAATTATCGAGCCGTTTGCCTTTTTGAATAAACACAACCGTTATTGCTTTACGTTCAAATCAGGGCTTTGTTATAGCATTCAAGCGAGTGCATAATTGTCAGAACTCGGGCGGGTCAGCGGCGTTTGGTTGAAAAATCGAAGTGTGTGCTGACTTTGCACAGCACTTTTATTGTCTTCACCTTACTGATAGTTGCAGACGCGTAAACCGGTGTGGTGTGTTAGCTCCTCACGTGTGTAATTGTTCGGCGTCAGTGTGAACAGTGCAGCCTCCTGTGATTGGCTGGTTGATATGGGTGACGCAGATAACCTCCGCGACTCTATTGGCTCGGGGTGGAGACAACCAGTAAGCGCCTTACCCTTGCCGTATATTTAATCAAACGACCACGACGACCGAGAGCATTAGCCATTCCGTGGAGAGTGACGTGGATTGTGGGTCTCCGTAGTCGTCTACTCACCTACTGACAGTGGAATGCAAGTCCTTGTGGATAGCGGTCCACCTGAAGCAAAAGGTTCTCAGCGCTATCGAACTGCCTCGGATCAGATAGCTTGTAGATCGAGACCAAGGTCTCTAAAGTGGCTAGCGCGGCAGAAGACGGATTTAATATTAGATGTCGACTACTGTAGTTCACCGGACTCCGCGGTAGCTACGGGAAGCGAGTCTCTGGGCAGTTCTGAGAGCATTGATACCTTGGATACCAGAAAAGTTGAGGATTCCAGAGCCAAATCGAATGCACCTCCACGACGCCGGAATAACCGACGCTACCGGCGCTGGTGTCAAATGAAACGCGATTCCTTGGGTTCTGTAGCCCTAATTGAATCTTCGGACTCTTGTGAAAAGTTTAGTAAGATTCCGGAGGCTGAGCTAAAAATCGGAAAGGCTCATCGTCCGCCGGTGCCAGTAGCTGTGGTCAGGAATACGCTCGAGCGCCCATTGGTATTCCTTCCCGGATCTTATCCACCTGACCAGACCACAGTTCCCTCCTACGTCTCGTACTTCCCTGCCTACTCACCTCATTGGCTGGCCCTTCCATACCTCTTGCCCGGGGATGGGCAATTTTCATCCCTTACTCCTGGCATGTAACGATTGACCTAACAGGTCACGATGTCTCCTACTTTGTGGAACATCTACCTCCTCTCACTCCTAAGCGGCCTCAACACGATAAGGTGCCTCCCCCGCAGCCCCTTATGGAGATTAACACAAACCTCTTTCAACCGTATTTGACGTCCGAGCGCGATCGTGCACAGAATTGCGTCCTTTTCTATCCCCAGGCCTGGTCCGCACATCCCCCCTTTGTGTACATACCTGCCCCACTGCATCTTCCTCGGGCGCAGGACCACTGCAGGTCGCTCAAAACCTGTGCGATGCCTTTTAGTGAATTTCCTAATTGTAAGCCTCTCTCTCATTCCTCCCCCATCCGAGATTACATCAACTCCCAATCCAGAGTGATGCAATATACACACGTCATTAATTCATCACTTCTTTGGTTCTTTTAGACATCGGCTCCGCCCCTCCTCATCGACAGTGGCGTCAGTTTGGGACTCCCTCGAGGAATGGATGTGAGTACCATTTTTCGTATCTCTATTCCTTTACCTCCCTCTCTTCTTCTGCATCAGTCCCTCTTGCTTGAATGCCTGCTTTTGGTGTGACTGTGTTTGCGTGCCTGGGGAGGGGGTTACTGAGTCTAGAGGCGGTGGTGGTGGTGGCGGCAGCGGTGGCGAAGGCGGAATATACGGTGCGCGCGCTCGCATCCATCGATCGGAAGGCGTGAGCACGTGTGAGCATCCTTCCACTTGACGGTGAGCCAATGGCCGAAGTGTCGAGGGCAGGCCGAGGGAGTGTTGCTAAATCTACGTGCTACGCGAGAGAGGACGGAGGAGCTGGAGACAGTGCGCCACTTTCTTGTCTCCTCTCACGGGCCCTCGATTGGGCTGGTTTGCAAACGGCGATAAACGCCTTTCGCCTACCTGACTTGTGGGCCCCCTATCAACTCTTCAGCTGGAACTTATCTCAGCAAATGTTGACTATCCCGGATTAGGAGAAAATTTGCACCTTTTTCCGAGCACACACCTTTAGCATCTTGTGACTGCGCACTCTTGAATTCTCAGTTCATTCACGTGCTATCTTGACCATCATCTTAAATCCCCACCCCACTGATATTGGTGTGTTTTGCATCTATTTGGCTCGATATATCCGAGATTTTGAATGTTTGTGATCCTTCATTCACCTTTCTACACCTCAATGTGTTTATTTCCCTTGGTATTCGATCGTGTGATGTCTTGCAGACCGACTCACGGTGATGTGCTACAACGTTCTGAGTGCCAACTACGCGACTCACTCGCAGTACCCCTATTGTCCCAGCTGGGCCATTGATTGGGAGTATCGACGTAGGGGCATCCTGGAGGAGTTGCGGCAATACGAGCCGAACATAATTTGTCTGCAGGAGATCGACACTGACCAATTTGAGACGGTATTTGTACCGGAGCTGGCAAAAAATAACTATGAGGGTGTATTTTTGCCCAAGTCGCGCTCACGTACAATGGAACCTGCATTGGCACGTAAAGTGGACGGTTGTGCCATTTTCTGGCTTTCGGAGAAGTTTACCAAGGTGGCTGAATTCCACCACGAATTCATGATCTCCTGCTCCTCCGTCGCTGACCATCCCTCTCCTCTACTTATCAACCGGGTCATGACTCGCGACAATGTCGCCATTGGTGTTGTTCTGGAGATTAAGAACTCAGGTACGCCTGTTAATGCATTTTATCCCTCCTCCAATCCTGTTTTCTGACCAGGCCTTTTGTCCTTATCTTTGGCCCGTAAGAATATTCAAACGCAGCTGTCAGTGCAGGCAAATGACCACGTGAGGTCTCTAGGGGTGTGTTTTTGTTTCCAATGTTGAACCGTTGTCAAAAGCGTCGTAGTAAGAAGCTGCCTTTTCACTTCCCTCTTTTGAGATGATTTAACGCCATCGTAAAAATCTTTTGACATAGCTATCACGTGGGAACGGTCTTTACCGATCTCCATTTGCCCCCTTTTAAGGTACGAATGGTCGGAGGTTCTGTGTAACCACGGGTCACATCCACTGGGATCCGGAGCATTCCGACGTGAAGTTGATTCAGGCCATCTTATGGACTGCCGAGTTGTGGTCCCGTTTGGAACGGTTCAATGGCGACTGTGAAAAACCGGGCTTGGGTGCCTCTCGAATGCCCGTGATCCTTTGTGGGGATTTCAACTCTCTACCAGATTCGGGTGTGGTCGAGTACCTCTCCACAGGTAGCGTTCCCACCACCCACGTCGAATTCCTCAATTTCGGCTTTAATTACCATTTTGAAGACTGGAAGTTGCTCGAGAAATGGGCTTACGAAGGCAATATTTTGCGTCATCGTTTCAACTTTGATCGAGCTTATCGTGGCAACGCCAATGACGGAATGAGGGTCACCAACTTGACGTAAGCTTACTCAGTATTGATGCTAGATCTAGTAAAAGATTGGGCTCTTTCGATTCTCATTGGATTGAAGCCGTCGGATGTGATAATTGAGGATCCGTTTTAATGCCTTTCTAGGTACGACTTTAAGGGAATGATCGACTACATCTTCTTTTCTCGAAACCACTTCCGCCTTTTGGGAAGTCTGGATCAGATCCCCGACTCTTGGTTTGTGGAAGAGCGAGTTTTGGGCTGTCCACACATTCACGTGCCTTCGGACCACTTCTCACTACTGGTGGAGCTGGATCTGTTGGGACAGCCTGGTCGCGGTCTGGCTATCTCGGATCCCGCTGAGTCTCTCGTTCCTATTTCTAGTGCGCCTCTGGTAGCGGCAGCATCCGCAACCGCATCTACAACCGCCCCTACCGATACGACCTCTATGGTCACCAATATCAGTAGCACTACTCCCACTACCGCCACTTTAAGCACGGCGAGTTCTGGCGCTATTGGATCTACGTCTACTGGCACCACTGGCAGCACCACCTCTGCTAGCATGTCAGGTGCAGCCGCAAGTACAGCAACAGCCTCCTCTGCCACGAACAGTCCAAAGCCAAAGGGATCCTCTGGTTCGAGACAGAAGCAGGGGAAGCGCTAGTCGGTGGTGATGACTTCGGCGAAGGCGGCGGTGGACCACATGGGCACTAGAGCATCTTCTGAGGATGTGATGCTACACATGTATATAAAATACTAACTAAACTGTCTAGACCTCACACTTACCAACTCACTCCGTCCTCTCTTCCTCCTCTGTGCGCCCCTCTGTCTCCCCCACCCACCTCTTGTCGTTTCCCTTTTCAACCGCCCAAGGCAGCAGTCTATCCTTTCTGCACGTGTCTCATCACCTACTCGTTCCCCTTCATTCACCCTTTCCCTCTCCCCTTTATGCGCACACATCCAAATATCCTCCCTTTCCCTCCTCCTCTCTCTCTCTCTCTCTCTCTCTCTCTCTCTCGGTTTCACTTATTTTGTGTACTCTACAAGCGTAAATCGGTTTTTATTCGATCTCCTTTCCGCTGCCACGCTTGTGCGCGTCCGTAGTTCTATCCCACTGGTGGTATTATTACCATTGTGTATGCGCGTCGGGTGTTGTAGTCTTTCTGTTGTTTTTCCTCCTCTCCCTCTCCTACTTTCCTCTTACAAACATTTTTGTCCGCTTTGTTGTCGCCCTTGGCGCCTCTATCCCTCCATTCCTCCGCCGTCATCTGTGTCATGCGTGCGCGTGCGTGTGTGCGTTTAACCGTCCCTGTGTCTGCGAAGGCACTCGTGAAGTCTTGACGTCGTCTCACTTTTGCCTCCCCCCCCCCACCTCCTCCCTTTCCCCTTCCTTCGTGCTAATGTTTCCCCCACTCCCACAAACTTGGCATCATCAACAAGACGGCACTACTATTAGCTATGTAATAAAATCCGCCGATGGCTCTCGTTTTTCAAGCCCCCGAATAAGCATGCTTTCTTCCTACTCTCTTCTCCTGACTTGGGTTTTTGGGTAGGCGGTGGGTTGCAGTAGCTTGGATTGTCCAATGCAATGGGGTGGGAGGAGTGCGCAACGCCTACTGCTTGATAATGCGGCGAGGATCATTACTTTCACCACTAGGTGGTCCCTCCGGGCTCCTCTATTCCGGTTTGCGGTGTAAGATGTTGCACGGAGTTGGTGTTTTAACTGGCGAGACTGTCGATGACTGCAAGTGTTGTCAGAAGCGGTGCTGTGAGGATAGTCGGTACGGAATGAGGGTTGAGGCCTGGTTGGCAGCAGCAGGCTCTTTGCTGAACCGATGTGAGATGGCAAAGGAGGGCTTGTGAATGAGCGCAGTGACCTCCGGAACGGACACTCGCCGCAGTATTGCTTGTCTTGGGGAATTTGATGTGGCCCGGAGTGCGCGTGTGTCGGCGGGGGCGTCGTGTGTTTTCCGAATCTGAGCTAGCTATTGCCCCAATTTGTCCAACAGTGATGGGCTTCTGTGATGTCATCACGTGCACCTCCGCGACAGGGTGTCAGTAGCGGTGCGTCTGAAGCACGGACTTCCACGGCATTTCTGGAGATATTTTGAAAGCGCATCAAACTTATTCAGGTCATATTTTTCGATTTCAGTTTATCACTTTTCCAATCCTTATTAAATTCGTGGACAAGAAAGCCATGGTAACGCGTTCAGTTTATGAAAATGATGCGAATGAAGGCACATTGAGTCGAAGGAAAGACAACGTCATTTTTTGAGGCGATATGCAGCTCGACATTTCTCAATTAAGGGCTGCAGTGGAAGCAGGCTCATCTGCTTTATGTGTCATCATGATGGTTGTTTTGAAAAAACATATCCTTCTAGGCAGGCATGAATTAAGTGATGTATCAAAATACTACGAGAAGAAAATATATTCGTTGGTTCAATAATCAGCCTCTTACAACTTGCTCGGCCGTCTACAATGGCTGCATGCCCACGAACTAGTGGGAGGTGGATTCCCTGTCAAGCAGCAGCTGCAGCCGCTATTAATGAGCAGAGAGGGAGACTCGCTTTGCGTGGCAACACTGTTAGAAACTCCTCCACAAACCCACCTTAGGTATTGACAAGAAGTCTTGCTGACTGATTGCCTTATTGTGCAGACTACGAAAAAGGAGTTTCGCCGTTCCATGGAGCGATTTTGTATTATGTCCAAGGGATCGCTTTGTTGCGCCTTCCTGTCGCACACAAAGTTCTCGCCTCATTGGATATATCCTTCAAGTAGATTTCTAACGATCATTTATGCCTTCAAACTTGGTGTTGCAATGCTCCAGATGTCAGGTGAGTTCAAGCCTTGTGAACTACAACACCGCTCACTTTGGTTGGAAATTTAAAACGCCAGGGCAAGCCCACCACCTTGCAGACAATCAAAGCTAGTAGGACGGGGGTTGTCTCGACAGATGCCAGCTACCAGCTTAATTTGTGCCCTTTATCAAGTTAATAGCTTTTTCTACCCCCCTGTTTGTCATTTGAAGTTGTTATTATCAAGATGCCTCTTTTTTGGGACAGGTTTTTAGAGCAGACTAAATTTGCCTTCGCAGAACTAGAAATCCGGCACTGTATGGAATTTTGGAGATCCCAAATGGCCGTCTCAGCAGCGTTGCTGGGCTGAGAAGGCGATTCAGTTAAACGCTTCCTCCGATATGATAGGGATTAATGATGGCGGGTGTATTGTCCCTTGATTTTCACATTCATTAAGTGGAAGTTAGAAGGTATTACCGCCAGTAGGTGTCACAGCAGATGATTTGCGAACATTGTCATCGCGGAGAAAACCCAGCATCATCTGTGGGTCGGCGCATTTGTCGCGTTCAACTGCAGTGGAGAGAAAGACGTATCAAACTGGCGGATACTGCAATGTGATTTTCTTTTCAGTGGAGCACACGTGTCAAGGCGTAAAAGGCGTTGACTTTCGCATAATCATCGTCACACCCAGTGGCATATTGAAGAATTTTAACATAAAAATAGATATAAAGTGAATGATTGAATCATCTAGCTTTATAAGACTTTTTAAAGGGAAAAAACTTCTACAAGCAAAAAAAGTTTAGGTGAGAGGATTGGACAAGGCGGCGGTGTGACCTTTGTCCATGTCTTCGCGGAAAGTTTAGTCCGATTATTTTGCGGCGCCTTCAGTTGTGACTTGGGGGTAAAATCGAGGCACAGCATAGATGTTCATGGAAATTATTTCCTCCCCTCATCTTTAATTTTATGTGATTCGGTGAGAAAAATTAATCTAAATGGTGGGACATCCTTGTTACAAGCATAGATATACAGTGGTGCTAATCGAATCGTCTTTCTAGGAAGTAGAAAATCACGTGAGTTTTCATTTTACCCATCATGGATCATCCACATTCATGCCAATCCCTCATTGTGCAAGAGCCCAATCAGGAAGAACTCAGTGATCAGATTTAGACAATTATGGTAATCTAATATAGCAGTGGTTACCATGTTACCGTCTCGACACCAAAGCGGCCGTTTCGTGCATAGGCGGCAGTTGGCGGGGCATCACGCCATCGGCAACTGAACACGCAAGCCGAGGCGGTCCGCCGCAGGGTGATTAAGGATCGAATGCTACGGAAACACAAATTGCCGTTTTATGACAGTCATTTTTGTCTGGATTGCAAGATTAACTGTGTGTTGAGTAGAGCCTGCAGATTTGCAATAAAAGCCGCCGCTTTAAAAGACACTCTCTGTGGTTTCAGGCAAACTCAATGAATGGGACAACAGTCACATTAGCACGAGGAGAGGAATGGGCCTCCCCAGTACTCATCAGCCTAGATTTAATGAAATATTAATTGGGAAAATCAAACAATAGGTGAAGAGAGTTTCCCAACGGAGTAATAAATGTTAATTTTGTGCTTTGAAGTGGTGGATAAAGCAAATTAGTTGATCGAGTTTCACTCGCTTGATACAATGAGCTCTTAAATCGCTTTTACTGTTGGTCATGTGTGCTGTTAGTGAAGAGGAGGAAAAGTTTGCTGAGTATTTGAGCTAAGCACAGCCTTCAACATCATGTCCACGCACTCCAATTAACAAGGTGGGTGCACACAGAGCCTTTAAGAAGGGAGAGGATAATACAATGCAGCCCTTCGATACTTCCCTAAAGACAATGGAAGGCATGATACGCGGTGAGAATATGTGTTGCCGACGTACAGTGGCGCTTGGGGATTCTGACGTGGCTCAAGGACCAGGTTGATAGGCGAAGGTACAATAGTGGAGCACCTAAGAGGCCCGTCACTAAAATCGAGAGTTAACAAGCCAATCAACGTATTGAATAGCCCCTCGCATTTTTTGAGCGGCATCCTTGGCACTTTACTTGTTTGACCTCCTGCGTCAACCATCACAACTAAGTAGATGCTGTTAGGGCAATCCCCACTAGCCAACCGTGCCAGCCATCTAATTTTCATGCAGCTGAAGAGATACTTGACCGCAACTTCACTAACTTCTCTTGACCATTCTACTGGATATGAAGGGAGAATGTGTTGCCCATCTCGTATACTCATCGCTAGTCATGGTAACACTAGTCGAAATCAGGAATAGTAAAGGACAGGATTTCTTTCAGTTTTTTGAGAATGAGGTCTTGTTTCTACCCCTCCTCGCCACCTTGTTCTCACCTCTGTTCTGTCGAGCCATATCTACCTGGGTTCTGTTCAGCTAGTAGGGAGGTGGAGGAGGTATCGCGAGGTCACATATTGGATACCTTCCTACAGGTACGGTAAGTAGCTCCGTAACGAAACTTTTCCTGATTCTTCACGGCTAGTGTCGCTTCCGTTGTTTATAGCTTCCCTGCAGACTACGGACTAGGGCAGTTACCGAAGGTAGGCGCCATTTTTATCCCTTCTATTTTGGGTCGTCACAGATTCTGTTACACAAAGGTTTATTACTCAGAGGTAAAAATTAGGTAAGACGTCCCACTGGATCAAGTTAGCTTTCCTCTGCCACCTGTGTAGCGCCTTGAGGCTTCCATGAAGACGAACGAAGGTATAATACTCAGACAGAATATGTATCTCCGACGTATAGCAGGGCCTGAGTCTAAAGCATGGTTCGGAGGTCAGGTCGCCCGGCAGGGGTGCAAAGGCGGAGCCCCAAAATGGCCCGCTGCCAAAATTGTGAATTAAAAACCATTGTATTACAATTGATAGCCAATCACTTACAAGTCAAGCCTGTTTGGAAATAGATGCTTTCCGTCAAATGGTTCACACAGTAGGTTTCTGATTACCCGGGTTGATTATGCAAAGAAACCGATAGAGGCCTGCAAATGCATGGCATTTTGACAGATTCGTTAATGTCATTGGCTGATCTTTAGAACCGGTGAAAGCGTTTGCTAAAGTCTACCCCAACAGCCGCAAGCGTCAACTTCCCTCCTCGCGATTGCATTCAGAGGCAGTAGAAACGCAGTTGAGTGATCAGCCGTCGCATAAGTTGTTATTTCTTGGCCTGTTGCCAAGAGGGTGGTTCTGAGCGGAAAAAGGAGGGCGAGAGAGAGAGAGAGTTAGCGTGCGCTCACGCCGCCAACATCGTGCGAATTGGTCGGACGGGCAGACATGACTCACAGAAGTAGATGTGGATGGCGCAAAATCAACCACCTTGCACGGTTTCGTTTAGGAGGTGAACAAATGTGCTTCCAAATATGACAAAGGCTCGCCAACTTCCAGCATCTTTGCAACGGACGGTGAAAGAGTACGTGCCGAAAAATAATGATTGGCTAAAATTTTCAAATTAAATCGGAAATGGGGAATAGTTTGCTTAAAAGTTCCCTGTCCGTAGTTTTCCACTAAATCATTTCCGAAATTTCCTGATGATACTTGCTGGATGCCATTTCGCACGATCAACAAGATAGTACAGCAGACGACACCGCTAAGAACCAAGCTTTGAACCGGAGGCCGCAGGCGTGAGTCAGTTTTCCTATGGTTGTATATTACTACTAGGATAGGAAAGAAGTACCTCCGCAACAAGGTGTCCCTTGCGCGGGGAAATGCACGTTTCAAAGCCAGTTTTTTTAAGGGTGAATGGCAGAGAGGTGGAATTTGACAAACACGATTGGGGAATTAAAGGTCTGTTCTCGCTTCTGACCAAACAGTTGTTCCGCTTTACTTCAACCATTAATAACTGAGTAGGCTTTCACCAACGGTGTCTACTTTATCCTAAAATAGTATCTCAATTCTTGCGAGCACAAGGGTGGGTCATGAAGAGAAACAAGGTGTACACAAAGACACCACTTCCAGAATGCATGACAATTCCATCCATGTCCGGCATTGCAGTCCAGTCGGATTCAAAAAAAGTTTTGCGGTTTTGGTAATCATTAGTTAATTC